TGTAGCCCTCTGCTGTCCTCTTTCCAGCAGTTCCCTGTCCTTCTGGAACTGGGGAGCCCACAACTGCTCCAGATGGGGCCTCCCCAGGGCAGAGGGGCAGGATGACCTCTCTTGACCTGCTGGTCACACTCTTCCTGATGCCCCCCAGGATGCCATTGGCCTTCTTGGCCACAAGGGCCCATTGCTGGCTCATGGTCATCCTATTGTCCACCAGGACTCTAGGTCTTTTTCCACAGAGCTGCTCTCCAGCAGGTCAGCCCCAACCTGTCCTGGTGCAGGGGGTTATTCCTCCCCAGGTGCAGCACCCTACACTTGCCTTTGTTGAAGTTCATGAGGTTCCTCTCTGCCCAGCTCTCCAGCCTGTCCAGGTCTCACCGTATGGTGGCACAGCCTTCTGGGATGTCAACCACCCCTCCCAGTTTTGTATCATCAGCAAACTTACTGAGGGCACACTCCATCCCTTCATCCAGGGCGTTGATGAATATATTGAAGAGGGCTGGACCCAAAACTCAGGCAACGCACTGAAGACAGCAGTGCTCTGTACAACACCAACTCTTTTCTCTTTCTGCCGTGGGCATTTTTATCCTCTGAGAAGGTTTTTCTGTTGTTACAAGTAATTTTTTTCAGGCTGAAGTTGCCTGTGTTGCAAGAATTGAAAATTGGGCTCATGTTAAGAGACCATATTTGCACAGCGGGGTGCTGCCTGCCTACCAACTCACATGGAGGGATAAAGCAGTAAAAGTGGGGAGGATGTTGGTGGCTGAACGACAGCAGTATTCAGGGATTGGGGGCTGTTTGTGGTGGGGTTTTGTAGAAGGTGGATGATGCGAACTCAAATATGAACCTAGTGCCTGTGTATTTTGGATTTTGTTATTGTTGGTGAGGACTTAAGATCTAGAGCGCTGCAGTGCTCCTGGTCCTCCCATACACCAGCTTGTGCTTGGTTTTCCTTAGTCTTTTCTGTTAACTCTATTCTTTTTTTGGCTTTTTTTTCCCGTGTTTTGTACTTTTGAAGGTTGTGGCTCTTTTCCGCAAGTTTGAGCAGCAAATACACTTACAAAAGGGAAAAGAAATTACCCCTTTTTTTTTTTCTGGTTTTCCTTCTATTTACAACTGCTGGTGAAAGCGTTGGTGTTCTGATTTTCTGTGTGCTTCTGTAAACCCCTCGCTACAGGAAGGACATTGAGGTGCTGGAGCGTGTCCAGAGGAGAGCCACCAAGCTGGTGAGGGGTCTGGAGAACAAGTCCTATGAGGAGAGGCTGAGGGGAGACCTCATTGCCCTCTACAACTCCCTGAGAGGAGGGTGGAGAGAGGTGGGGGTTGGCCTCTTCTCCCAAGGGACTAATGCCAGGAGCAGAGGGAATGGTCTGAAGTTGGGGCAGGGGAGGTTTAGATGAGATATCGGGAGGAATGACTTTGCTGAGAGGGTGGTCAGGCACTGGAACAGCCTGCCCAGGGAGGTGGTGGAGTCACCATCCCTGGAGGGATTTAAGAAACATGTAGATGTGGCACTTCAGGGGATGCTCTAGTGTCCAAGGTTGTTGGGGGGTGGGTTTTGTGTGTGTATGGATGGACTTGATGATCTCAGAGGTCCTTTCCAACCATGAAGATTCGGTCATTTGGTATTATTGTGTCATGTTTAGTTTGGAGAAGAGGAGGCTGAGGGGAGACCTCATTGCCCTCTCCAACTCCCTGAAAGGAGGGTGGAGAGAGGTGGGGGTTGGCCTCTTCTCCCAAGGGAATGATGGCAGGAGCAGAGGAAATGGTCTGAAGTTGGGGCAGGGGAGGTTTAGATGAGATATCAGGAAGAATGACTTTCCTGAGAGGGTGGTCAGGCACCCAAGGAGGTGGTGGAGTCACCATCCCTGGAGGTATTTAAGAAACGTGTAGAGGTGGCACTTCAGGGCATGCTCTAGTGTCTGAGGTTGTTGGGTTTTTTTCTTTGTGTGTGTGTGTATGGATGGACTTGATGATCTCAGAGGTCCTTTCCAACCATGAAGATGCTGTGATTTGGTATTACTGTGATTCCATGGTTTCAGCCCTGATGGGGCATAGTCCTGCTGAACAGGGGTGTTTACCTGCCTGCTGTGCCCATGGATGTTGAGCGCAGCGTCAGTGGTTAGGAAAAAAGGGCACAAAATGTGTTTACTCTTGGTCAAATTAATTCATGGGTGAAAAACAACCTGCGCCGCGATTTTTTTTTTTTTTTTTTTTTCCTCTATACGACTAACTGGTTTTGCCCACAATTAAAAGCAGAATATTAAAAATATTACTGTATAGCATCTCCACCTGGGCTGAAAAGAGGAAGCTCCCTCCCAAGAGGCCCCTTCTTGGCAAGCGGCCACACCGGAGAGGTTTGGACTTGATCATGGATGTCTGGAGACCTTTTTTTCTTGAGTTTGTGCATTTTTCTCCATGGTTTCAGCCCTGATGGGGCATAGTCCTGCTGAATAGGGGTGTTTACCTGCCTGTTGTGCCCATGGATGTTGAGCCCAGCATCAGTGGTTAGGAAAAAAGGGCACAAAATGTGTTTACTGTTGGTCAAATTAATTCATGGGTGAAAAACAACCTGCGCCGCGAGGGGGGTGGGGGGAGAGCAAAACCTGCCTTTCTTCACTAAATCTTGCTGTTTCCTCTCTATCCACACAAATAGTAATTAAACACAACTGCTAACTGAGGGTACTGCCTACACAAGGGTGTATTACCCGCCCGTGAAGCACAACAAGTTACGGAAGGCAGGGCCAGGACTTGTAGTAGGGAATTAACTCCTACGGATGAGTTTACAGTCTCGCCGAGTCTCACCTCCTTATTTTTCTTTTTTGCCCTGCTTAACCGGTGCGTTTTGGGAAGAATTGTCCAGCTTTTCATTTCATTGCTGTGTTGCTGTTTTGCAGGCTGAAGCAAGACTCGCGGCGAAGCGAGCGGCGCGGGCAGAGGCACGGGAGATCCGCATGAAAGAGCTGGAGAGGCAGCAGAAAGAGGTATGTCCAAGGCTCTGGGGGGGTGTTGTTTTCATAATCTCATTTTCCTGAATATTTACGTATGTAATCTGAGGTTCTGGAACAAAGGGTTAATCTGTGTTCGTCTGAAATGTTAATAGTCTGTGTGGAGCTGATGCGACTCAGTTCGTTGCCCGTGTGGGATGTAGCCTGGAACAAAAAAAATTGGGATTGGAGCAACAATTTTTATCTTGGTGAAGTCAGTGTAATTATTCACAGAAAACACTGGGGGTGACTTAGTAATCGTTGTTTAATAGTACCCTTTGAAGTGTGCAGTTTGTTTCCGTGTGCACTGGGGGGGATGGATTCTTATCGCTTCGTTAGAAATCTGATGAATATGGAAGACTCTTGGCCCTTGTATGACTCTTCCCTTGCAAGTTGTCTTGCTTTGTTGCTGTGAAGCTGGCGTTGTGGTCGCCCCTGTTTGTACAAATGATGGTCTGCTGTCGGCAGAAGTAATGATAGAAACTGAATTTGGCAAATCACACCCCTGGTGTGGTCTTTTCCAAAGTCTGGAAGAGCTAGTTGTTGCATACCATCAAATTACTGTGCTTCTGCTCATCAGTGTGTGGGAGATGGTGGGTTTCCCATCTAGGACTGACTGTCAAGGCCAAAAAGGCTTGTTCTGCTCCCGTTGTGTGTGGTAAGTAGGAGCTGTAAGTAGATGTTGTTCTCTCTGCTCCAAGAAACGGAGAGCAGCGTTTGGTTTTTGAAGGTCTGGAAGCTAAAAGCAGTGCTATTGGAATGGGGTTGTAAGCATGGGGTGGCACCAGTGATGAGAACAGAAAGGCTTAAAACTTGCATGTGTTGGTGTGCGTTTAGTAAGACAGCAGGGTAGGTGTAAGAGCAATCATAATTTAATTTTTTTCAAATAGATTTTGAAGGAAAGGGAAGAAAGAAGGAGTTTTGGGGGCGGGTATGGGAACACGTAGTTAAGAATAAACCTACATCGGCGCTTCAGGGTGCAGAGAAAGATTCAGTTTCGCTTTTAAACAGCGAATTGGGATGTGATAGTAGAACCCTCCTGCAGAAGAAGCACTTGGGCACTTTGCCCAGGCTCAGCTTTGTGCTCCTCTAGTTGCGGCACGTCTGGATGTGCCTGAGCTCCCTGTAGCTGCAGCCGGGTTAGATGAACCCCCAGACACCCCAGGAGTAAGAGCCACGGAGGAGCGTTGCTGCCAGCACAGTGCTTGTGGAAGAGAGGAACCTTTTTATTTTACTGCTGTGGCTGCTGCTTTTTGAAGGATGCTTCTTGCAAACGGGACTGCAGTTGGAAGGTCTGGAGTGCAGATAAGTGTCAGTGCTGCCAAGCTTCCTGCTGTGCCTACAGCCTGAGTTGATGGGACTCGCCGAGCAGCCTTTGGGAGATCCATGGTAAACAACCACCGGGTGTTTTGTTTGGGCAGCAAAGTAAATAGGGGTGTCAGGGCACCTGACGGGGGTGGTACCGTCTAATTTGCAGAGAACTTTGATGCATCTGATGACCCCCTTGAAGATTAGAAGCTGATGCCGCAAAGGGTGGCCTAGTAAACTGAAATTTTTGGTATGAAAACTAAAGGTTGTGTGCGTGCTTGTGCAGTTAGTCACTGAAGAGCTAGGGATCTGAAAAATCTGTGAAAACATCTTTGTATAGAGAGAAATAGTGATGTTGCTCTGAAATACTAAATTCAGTGAAAACGAAGCCAGATAATCACTACAATCTGTTTTGTAATTCATTGTTGTAAATTACAGAATGTGACTACACGTTTATTTAATACTTTGCAAGCTTGGATATTCTGTAATTTTTTTTTTTTTCATATAGCTTAATTTCAGCCCCCAGATGCAAGGTAGAGTTGGTAAGGATGGCTGCGGGAAGTTTTTCATTGCCTCAAGTACCTTGTAGATATAAAAAAAGAAAACATAAATATAGCAAATCCCAAGCAGTGGTCAACACGAGAGATTTGGCACCTACCCCTTCCTTGGAGGAGAACGTACTGTGATACTGGTGTCTGTACAGCTGGTTGTCTGCTAGCTTCATTTTTCATTTACTTTGCAGAGAAATAAATAGCACCTTCCTGCTCTTGGCATGTTGAATAACCAGAACTTAAAGCACTTGCTTTACTACTTCAGAAGGCTTTTCAGAGCCTGTTTCAGGAGTTAAAGCAATAAATAAATTTATTGCATGTGTGTGTACGTGTTCATGCTTAAAGCAGTGTACATGCCCTTACAGGCTTCTTGTGGAGCATGGATTACTTGAGAATATATTTATATTGTTGGTTTGGGTTAAAAGTTTCCAGATGTTACCATCACAAGCTGTAAGCGTGACAGTATAGCTTTTGATAGCAGTGAAGTAGGGTTTTTTAATGATATGGATTTGGGCTGGAAATTGGCTTTTCATCTGCCCACCATCTAGTATTAATGTCATTTCTTAACGTGCTTCATTTTCCTCATTTTAAAACGTTAGTTGACTTTTGCATCATCAGTCTACATACGTGTTTTAGCTAATGTTCTGCTTGTCATGGCAAAAGAAATGTCAATGCAAAAGCACCAGGTGTCAGATTTTTTTTTTTTAAATTTTTTTGTTTGTTTGTTCTGTATCTTATGAATGCTGCTGTAGGTAGAATGAGCTGCCTCTTCGTTGGAAAGCTATTAAAATGCCCTGTGCTGGTTCTGTAGGCTGGCTGTTTGTGAAGAGCACACCAAAGATTAATTAGTCACAATTGTGTGGTAGAGCTCATCGGCAAACGGTGAGGGCTGCACGGCATCATCCCGAGCTCTTCTGGCAGAAATTATTTCATGTAGCACACGTAATTGGCTGCAGAAATTGCTGCATAGTTTATTCCTTTGGAAATTTAAAATTGTATTTCTCATCATGGAATCACGGGATTGTTGGAGTTGGAAGGAACCTTCTAGAGATCATCCAGTCCAACTCCCCTGCCAAAGCAGGGCTGCCCAGAGCACATCACTCAGGAGCATCCAGGCGGGGCTTGAAGATCTCCAGAGAAGGGGACTCCACACCCTCCCTGGGCAGCCTCTGCCAGGGCTCTGCCACCCTCACCCCAAACAAGTTCTTCCTCACATTGCAGTGGAACTTCCCATGGTCCAGCTTGTGCCCGTTGCCCCTCGTCCTGTCACTGGGAACCACTGGAAAGAGTCCAGCTCCATCCTCCCTCAGCCCACCCTTTAGACACTTGTCAGCATTGAGAAGGTCTCCCCTCAGCCTTCTCTTCTCCAGGCTGAAGAGCCCCAGCTCTCTCAGGCTTTCCTCATCAGGGAGATGCTCCAATCCCTCCATCATCTTTGTTGCCCTACGCTGGCGTCTCTCCACCAGTTCCCTGTCTCTCTTAAGATCCTTCACTCTCTCCAGTAGTTCCCTGTCTCTCTTAAGATCCTTTCAAAAGGAGCATGCAACAAGAAGCTCATGGTGGACAGCTTGGCTTTAGATGATGATGAAGGTGTTTGCTGCATGGGTTGGGGGGGGTCACCCCCTTGCTCGGGCTGTTGTACCTCTTGCCTGTGGCCACTACTGTTCATCTCGTGGCTGTGTGCTGGGAGGGACAGCTTTAGGAAACGTGGCTTGAAATATAAGGTGACCCTTAAGCCTTCTTCTGGAAGCTTTAACGTGAAGCAACACGCTGCTGTAGTAGAACCATAGCTGGAGAAACTATATGGCAGAAATAGATGGGTTTTTGGGAGAAGACACTCTGAATTGGACTAGGTGATCTCCAGAGGTCCCTTCCAACCCCGTATCGTTCTGTGATGGTGAGAATTGCAGTGTGAGACGTGGGAAAGTTGCTGGGGAAGGCTCCTGCCCCACGTTGGGAGAAGACACTCTGAATTGGACTGGACAATCTCCAGAGGTTCCTTCCAACCCCGTATGGTTCTGTGATTGTGAGAATTGCAGTGTGAGACGTGAGAAAGTTGCTGGGGAAGGCTCCTTCCCCACACTGTGGTGGGGCAGGATTGCAGGTGGTGTTCCAGAGGCGGTATCATCTCATCACCTGGCAGCAGAAAGAAGGAGAAGTGTGCCGTTGTGGGTGGTCCTGGGTTTTGGGTTTGTTTTAGTTTGGTTTTTTTTTCTCAAGGAGAGGAAGGTGAGGACTACAAGTTTAACAGGAAAGTAGTGCAGGTAGATTGCTTTCTGAAGGTGAAGAAAGAAAATCAGCACAAGAATGGTGATCTGATGTATGCTGATTTATGAAGATGAGGGTAATGGTCAGTTTTGAATCATATACAGGTGCGTATATTTATAAATATTTATAGATTTAGTAGAGAAAGGGGTTCCTGGACATGAGGCTCTAAGAAGGGCACAGGTCTAAAAAAAGTAACTGCTTGAATGTTTCTGACTTATTCTGTGCTGCTCCGCTGTTGTTATCCACCAAAGGTGTAAATAATTAATCTGGAGGTCACAGTAGATTTTTCTGGTATGTTTCCATGCATAGGTCAGTAGAGGAGAGCTGTTACATGAGGCAATGGCAATGCTAGTGCATGTTGTAAGCTGAATTATCATTATAATAGATGATAGTCTCTCCCTTGCTTGTTTCCATACCACTGGTACCCACCCAGTTGTAAGCTGAATTATCATTATAATAGATGGTAGTGCTCCCTTGCCTGTTTCCATACCACTGGTACCCACCTGGCTGGTGGGAATCCTCTGATGGGTCCTGTGATGGACCCATCACTGTGTTTTTTACCCTATCGTGCTGCCGTGGTCTTTAAACATTTGGCTTTACAGTTGCAGGGTCTAAAGTTGGTCCGTTTGGCTCGGCCTGTAGACATGTGTTTGGTGCCCTGACAAATGCTTGTGTGCATTCAGATATTTATTTTTAATTCATGCAGAAGAGCAAGTCAGGAGTTGTCGACTCAGTTTTTTTTCTGAGTGACAAATTGTTAATTCTTGTGGGGCTACCAGGCAAAATGGAGAGAAGGATTTTTTTTCTGGTTTTTTTTTTTTTTTTCTTTTTTCCTAAAGCCTTTTTTTCCCCAAGAAATATTTAACAGCA